TGCAAGTAGCAGATTTCTCCTACAGTCACCACAGGAAAACTTCTAGACCCAGAGAATTCTACCAACGAGCAGAGCTTCCAAACCCCACCGTGGTTTTTTGGTCACTGGGAATTTCTTGACCCATTCTAGTGTTGCAGGCACTGCTATGTAACGGTGCTGACACATCCCTTTGTCCATGGGAAACAATTTAATGAGAACAACAGGATTTCATGGATTTCTTGCTATTGTTGCTACTTGAAAAATACCTTAATTCTTGTGTGTGTGTATAATTCCTCACAAATTGAAGTAAGTGCTTCCTTGGCTGCTCTGGTTTAGGGCAAGGCCCTTGGCTATGGTATGATGGTGCCAGGCAGGGTCAGCACCGTCTCCTGGCCCATCTGGGGCTTCCTCTGGTACTAAATTCTGGACTTCAGGGGCTACAGGTCATTTTTTTGCCCTGATGGGACCCTTGCCCATGACTGCAGTCTCTTAAGTGCACACCAGGTGACCCCTCCAGGCCGGCAGGTATCAGAAAACAAAATAATGTAACTATTTTCAAGCTAAATTTTAAACTTTGCTGCCTCCAATTTGCACACAGTACAAGAGATTAGAGCAGAAACCATGGACTAGCAGGTTTAGTACTTGAAAATTTTATTTTCTCAAATGAGCACCAACACATATTGTAAATATGACAAACAATATGCCTCCCTCTAATACTGAAGATCTATATACAATGTACAAATACATGAAAAGGTGAAAAGCAATTATTTGAAAACAAACAATTGCATTTATTACTGAAGCAGATGACCTGAAAGAATACGCCAAAAAAATAAAATTAAAATAAGATCAAAGAAATAAAAGTATACACAATTTGTAAACACAAGAGCATCAACAGACAGGCTGGTATTGGAAATATTCTCCTTCAGCTTTGTCAGTGGGGAACACGTTCCCCTTTCCTCATGAAAACAAACCAAAGGACACAGAGTTTGGAACTATGAGAGCAGCTGATCTGTGGTTGTACCTCACACGATGCCATTCTGCTCACGTTTATGGATGATTTTATTATTATTATTATTTTAAAATTCAAGATGATTTTGTTTCCCCTCTTCTGCTTATTCTTTTTAAACGGGATCCTGCAAAATCTAGGCCTAAGGGAATCCTTTCTGCCT